GGGATTCTGTGACTGTGCCACGAGCCTCCCCAGCCCGGCTGGAGCCGCCACGGCTGCCACTGGCACCACCGGGATCCGCCTGTTGCCAAGCAACCTTAAGGCTTTTTTTTTTTTAAGAAATTTTGAGTGCTCTGCAGGAGTGCGGTGCATGCGCTGGGATGCTGAACATCCCCAGGCTGGACCTTCCGCCCCTCCTTCCCCTCAGGGCTCTTATTTTCTCCTTCTTGAAACAAACCCCATGGTCCGGGCGGCACGGGAAGCTGGGGGCTCCTTCTGACAACAGCGAAGACACCGGGCACTGCGTATCCGCAGGCATTTTCAAGGATATTTTGTTGGGAAAAGAATCAGCACGGCTGAGCTTGGTTAAAAGAAGAGAGATTTGCATCTTCAGCGCCTGCCCTCATCAGCACTTCTCTTGGAAATTCAAGAGTTTTGGCACAGAGGCGGCCACCGATAGCACATCCCAATGTGGCAGAGATGCCACCAGGGCCAGAAATGTGCTTACCCCTCCGGTTTCCATCTCCTTGGATCTCCACAAGCTGGTTCAGCTAAGATGCCGTTTGATCTTCAATCCCATTCCTAGCTCAAATGGGATGATGTAAAGCCTCCAGCCTCATAAATCTCTCTGTCCTGGGCTTGGGCTCCAAGTTCTGCTACAACTTAATTTAATTGCTCTGGCTCCTTTCCCTGCAGAAAATTAACTTTTCTCCAGGAGAGAGGCAGAAGATGCTAATAGGTGTGGGCTGTTTTTTAAGTTAAAATCTCTGGTAGTAGCCATTTGCCTTCAAGAAGAAACCTAACAACCAAATTCAGAAAATCTTGCTAGAAATGTGCTGAAAAGGGAAACATTTTAATAGCATTTGCACATACGAGGTACGCAGGGTCATACGGATCCGCTGTGCGTGCAGGACCTGCAGAGATCCTCACCCAGAAGTTCATGCTTATAATTAGTGGTTAGGAAACAACACCTGGTATCTGTAACTTTAGGTTGGAAAGAGCCGTAATTGGTGAATCTCGGCATCCCTGTTAGGGATGGAGAGCAGCCCTGCCCAGAGGGACCTGGGGGTGTTGAGGGTTGAAAAGCTGGCCAGGAGCCGGCCATGGGTGCT